GGTCTAAGTTTGCTTCAAGGAGCAATTTAAATGTCTGAACATTTTCCCTTTTATACTAGTCTAAGCTCACATGTCTCATTTTGTTATGCACATTTCCTCAACATAGTAGCAGACACCCAGTCTTTTTAAATGATGGGAGAGTCCACAGACACCAGAAAGCCATTACTTTTCGGGTTGACTCCCTGTGTGTTACTAACCCAGTACAGCCTGTCCCAGACCCTCTGTCCCTAGCTTCTAGCGCTGTGCTTCTTCAGCACTTAAAAGGACATAATGCAAAATGATCACTGTAAAGACATGTCTGTCTTTGCTTGAGATGCCTTTGCATTGCAAATTCCAGCAAGCCGGATGCAGCATTTTGGATACCATGAGAAAAAAGTGAGGGCAGCCATTTTGGAGGCAGTTGGTTTTACCAGATTACTGAGCAGCTGTACCTATTTAAACAGTTTCTAGGCATAGTACCCGTACATAATGCTTACCATGTATACATGCACAGTGTCTATATTGCTTCATAGAGGCTCCTGGTAGTGCTGTGCATTAGGAAGTATTTAAGACAACTTTAAGACAAGCATTCTTTTTTGTGTCTATCAAAGTACCTTTTAAATAAGTACAGGAACCCATAAGCTCTTCCTGTTTCAATCTAGCACTGTGCCAGCATCATGTAATTTTCATCTGACACACTTTCCAGGACTGACAGAATCGGGGTGTGAATATGTCCTTGGGCACAATCAAAAGCACGTGGTTTAAGTCAGGGAAATGCAGTCATCTCTTTTCAGAGCTGATCTTATAGCCCTGTGTTTCTGAAGCTATTATCTTAGAATAAATTAGAATAAAATGGAGGACCCTTATGTAGTTTCAAGGGACTGAACTAGACAATACATCTAGGTAGTGGTTTCTCAGACATGGATTATGCTTCTGACCTTATTGTCTCTGTTGGCAGCAGAAATGAAAGCAATTCAGGAGTAGCTTCAACAGTTCTGTACCATCAGGGGATTGCTTTTTTATCCAGATAAATCCTCAAGGGCCATGCACCCCACCTCAGTCATCAGAATCCTCTGGCTGATCTAACTGCAAATGGCTGGAGTGAATAGCACAGAAGAAAAGGAAGACATCCTCAAGGAGATTATGGTCAGTCTGACCATTTGTATAATACACTGCATTAAAAAAATACTGTATACCAGGGGTAGTCTACTAGCTCAGTAGAAAGCCAAGTCCTGCCAGGTTTGTCTTGGTAATAAACAGAGAAAAAGTTCTACAGGAGGCAGGTAAATCCTATTTTCTGCCCTATTTTGTTTAAATTCTGGAAAAGGGAGCAGTAGTAATCATGGAGAAATTACAATAAGAATTAAAAGTAGTCCTGACCCAGTGGGGTAGAAACGGCCACCACTAAAACTGGAGGAGGTTTTGATCTGACCAGAACTCCTCAGACAAGAACTGAGGAGAACTCAGAACTCAGAACCAGAACTCCTCATTAACCAGCCAGGGTAACTTCAGATCTGGATTGACTCCCAGATCTGAGTTGCAAAACTCTACCCCGACATCACTATTTTTTCTTTTCTTGAATCAATACGAAGCAGCAGACAAATTCTGAGGGAAACTCCAGCAGGGTGGTAAAGCACAATCTGGCTAGCAATGCTGTGTAGTACAGCAGTGCCGGAGGCAGCCATGGTTCTGGCATGATGAGACAAGTACATTATTTAAAAATGATTGATTTCAGGAGCGTGACAGGTACACTCACAAAGCTTGTTCCACTTTTCTCAAACTATTATTGTAGTGTCCACTTTAAATATGGAAATTTCATTTCTAAGTTAGGAAATAACCTTCAGTGTATGCTTACTATTTTAAAACAACTTGAAATTACATGGCCTGCATATAGATTTTAGGATGTCTGTAACTTGCCCTTCTAACTTTACTCTTTACAAACATTTCAAATCACTGGTGCAGGGTGGGGGCCTTAGGATGAATTTGCCTTTTTTTCAAATTCTATACAAAACATTGACACAAATTACAAGTTACACTAGCATTGTATCACACATTTTTTGTCAGCTGCAGACAATGCAACTGCTGCTGCAGAGATGCACTAGGCTAAAGTGTATGAATAACTGGATGAATGGCACACGAAGTTATGTCCCTGTGATAATTCTGAAGTGTGTAAGAAATACACTCCACAGAAATAAATCTAGGTGGGAGAAATGGCCCATGGAATGTCTTTGCTTTACACATGACACACGTGCATCACCACCAAAAAAATCACTTGGAGAGCCTTGGTACTGAAGTACTAATTTAGTTCAGTTGTCCAAGATGCCCTGAGGAACCGAGTCCATAGCTTGGGACGTACCTGACAATCAGCCTGTGTAGGAGACACTAGATTTTGTCTTAGGGCGAGCCCTTCTCTGGGTGTTTCTGTACCCACCTTTCCAAGGGGAAAATGCTTCCTCACAAAATGCTTGGAATGCTCTTTCCTTTATACAGACCAACTAGGACAAGCCAGCTTAAATGTGACTCATTGTTATTATGTAAAAAATACTTCAAGGAGTCACTCCTTGTGCTGGTGCTTGTGTAGTATCTCTCAGAGCTGTAAATCCACTACCATTGTCCTCCTTATTTTTACCCCTTCTTTACTAATAGGAACGGAGAAAACTTGGGCGTAAAATTATCAGCAAATTTGAAGGTAAAAAGCTGTATGATAACTGCACAACCATTATATCTTGATTTTTCAAATAAAAAAGGAGTTGAACAATCTTTTCTTTAGAGTCCAATGCTGGAACTCCAATCACTGTATATCTTCCCTAGTGACAGGGACCTAAATGGTGAAGCAGTAGAGAGTATGTGAAATCCCAGCCCTATCAAAATCAGTACCTTTCTCCCATTAACTCTGAAGTAATGAGGATTTCATTCCAGAAATTGAAAATGACTGTCAGTCAAGCAATCTGATTACATGAGGAAATGTAAACTAGAAGCAAGGATTTCATAATGTTGAATCTAGGCCATATGTAAAAATTGCTTGGAAAGTAACGTGATAGTATCTTACTACTGTCTTTTTTATAATGGATTGGAAATAAATATGTATTTTCTGAGGCTCATGGCAAGATTTGAGTTACAGTAGTTCATGCTGAATAAGACTTTGTTCCAGGAGTGGCACAAACAATGCTTGTGTTTTCAGTGTTTTGAGGGTATCTGAATCTGGTCCTGTGAAATTTCAGTCCAAAGTAAATCCAGATGTATTAAGTCAAGAATACTGCTGAAATGCAGAGTGACTGGGGAAAAATGAAGAGGGAAGGAAGGAGTTTGGATTATAAGACTGAAACAAAAGATACATGGACATATAAAACAGTAAAAGACAATTCAAAAATATATTTATACTAAATTAAAACTTTATTGACTAATGTTCTCCAGACAACATGATCCAATGGACTATGGTTGCATACATGCAATGAAGTTGAACACAACAGTAGTTTAACATGGAATGTCAAACAAATTAATATCATGTATTAAATGAAACAATTTATCTGTGTTGCTGCAAAATGAAACCAAGCTATGTATCTTCTTGGTCAATCTGTGTTCAGCTAAGAGGCAATGCATTTGAAGAAACTGGTAGATTTCTTTAGCATATATTTCAAATAAATTAGCTAGAATTGTACTCTTCTAAAAATCCTTTCAACTTCACTTGCATTTCAAACAAAATCTAAGTGTAAACACTAAAGTTGCTAGAGCCATCTAGAAAGACTTAACTGTCAAACTCAGAGCAGACATTACAGTTCAGTAAATGTGAATATTTAGAACAAGAAAAATACCAGTTACTGCAAAAGTCATGTAGGCATATTTTATTATTAATCCAGCACAAAGCATCTCTTCTAAGTTTCTCACATGAAAGACTAAAGCTTGCTTACAGTACTACATCTTCTATCATTCAAGCATCATTATTACCTATCAGGGAGATTGGTAGATCACCTAATGGGTCTTTTTCACTTCTAACTTCTACAAAAGAAAATCATTCATGCCAGCAAGAACATGGTTCACTACATCTTGGGCTTGATCCTGTAGCCTTTGTTCAGGCAAAACTCCCACTGTCGTAAAAGAGATTTTCCAGAGCAAGACATCCAAGATTAGGCCCTTTTTCTTTTTTTATTTTAAAAAAGCATCCATTTAGGATACATGGAAAATATTCTATAGAATTAAAAAAATATAATGACATGTGCTTCACTTGCATTGAAGGAATCAAAGAATGTAAACACCATAGTGGCCCAAATCTTCACAATATCCATGAGAAAGTGTCAACTGCAAGTAATCTCTGTGCGTTTATTTATCAATGTATGCTTCTGAGGGTCTATACCTTTACCTCCACATCCACAGACATATGTACACCCTTAATATACATTAAGGTGTGGTAAAATTCACTGAAGGCAGTTGCTTGCCCATCTTAACATTTAAATCTGCAAGTGGCAGCAAACTGGGTTTTACATTATGCTAATTAGACTGTACGTGAGCAGCAGGACACAAATATTGCTGTGGAGAAGAGAGTGTGGTTGCTGGTTCTACAAGTGTGGAGCCATCCCACTTACGCACATCACAAAATATACCTGCGTGAAGGGCTGGAAAAGCAGGTGAGCACTTGGTGGGCCATGTCTGAAATTTTTAGTTGAATGATTCAAAGGCTATGGATTGCCCTCACAGGAGCCTTTCGACAACCTGGAGGACCATGTAGGAAAGTTTACCTTCAAAGTGCAGTTTCTAAGAATGGAATGTTCTTGACAGGGAAATGATCAGAGGCAATTCTGGACTTTTTTGCTTGTTGAATAGGAAAAATTTTTTCATCTTCAGGCAGCGCTTCACCCTGACAAACGTGAGTTCAGTTATTATTGGGTTTAAGTATTACAGAAGATTCTTTAGAAACAAACACAATAGTACACACATACACATACACTCAGATATTTACAGCCTTTCTAGAAAAACAACCCCCCACCTTAGTACTGACTACCTAACTTTTTCTTTTTTTTTTTTAAAGTATTTAAATTCTTTTAACCAGCTACATTAAATACCAATGTGTACTGTACCACCCCACACCAACCCCACATCCCCCCTCAAAAACAGCAAGTATTTTAAAAGTTTGTTTGCTTGTTTGTTTGTTTTTATGATTGTTAAAATCTCCTGCTTGAGACTGCTAAGTACCACCTCCACTGGAACAAGATCAGCACTGACTGCATCTTCCAATGCACGTCGTTTCATAGTTGAGCAAGTACTGCAGCTAGAAGCTTAGATCTCCAGGTCATCAGGTCGAGGCCTGCTGCTGGCTCGGCTGCTGGCTCTGCTTGGAGGCCTCTGGTCCACAATGGTGAGGGGCTGCAGCTCATGTCCCGATGCCAGTTTTTTAGTGTTCTGGTGCTCATCGGTGAAGTCGAAGGGCTGGGCGTGTGAGTTGGAGATGGTGCTGCCAGCCTGCCCCATTCTGTTCTGCTCCGCACTGTAGTTGGCCCAGTTTTGCTCGCTGGCTTGCTTATTGTAGTTACGACAGGAGGAATTGTTCCTGTCTCCGGTAACGAGCTTGTACCCTGGGGGAGACATGGGAGACAAAGGGGCAGTTGGTGAGGAGCAGCCATTGTAATACGCATATTTAGGGGAGCCACAGTCTTTGGAAGGGCTCATGGTACCGCTGTGGGAGTAGGGGTCGGTTTTTCCTTTCACACGATCCTTGACACCCTTGAAGAACACATAGAAAAGCTCGATGATGTTCAAGGCAAGAGACACCAAAGACACGACCAGCATGAAGAGGATGAAGATTGTTTTCTCAGTTGGACGGGAGAGGAAACAGTCCACTCTGTGCGGGCATGGATCTCGCTCACAAGTATAGATGGCATTCAGGCTAAACCCATAGATGTACCACTGTATCAGCAAGAAAGCCACCTCGAAGACAGATTTAAACAGGATGCTGATGATGTAAGTACGGAGCAGTCCCCCACGCATCTTCACTTTGCCATGCTCTTCAATCCCATACTTGAATTTCTTAATTTCTATTTGCTTGAGGTGCATATCCACATTCACACCATCATTTTGGACCACCTTGAGCTCTTCCTCTCTTTTGTTCAGCTTCTCTTCTTTCCTCATTACATAGAACACGTGTGCCAGGTACAAAAGGGTAGGTACAGACACAAATATGATCTGCAGAACCCAGAAGCGTACATGGGAGATGGGGAAGGACTTGTCATAGCAGACGTTCTCGCAACCGGGCTGTTGAGTGTTGCACCGGAAAGCAGACTGTTCATCTCCCCAAGCGGATTCGACTGCTGTCCCCAGTAGCAAGATTCGGAAAATAAAGAGGACAGAGAGCCACACTTTCCCTCCTGCAGTAGAATAGGCTTGAACCTTGTCAAGAAGTTTTCCCAAGGCACTCCAATCACCCATCTTCACAGGATGTTGGCTAAAGAAGGACACAAAGGAGAAAAAAAAATAGTGATGATTAAGACAGAGCTTTAATATCTTTGATACACTAAATCACAGCTGAATCTGGCTGTGGAAGTACTCAGGGGTACTGCCTAAATATGCCAGGAATAAAAAAAAAGACATCTCTTTCAGTGTGGATTGCTCACAGTAATTTTTACGTTCACTCTTTAAGAAAGTAAGAAAGCAAACCATAGTATAACCTAAATACAAAAGGCTATACTAAGTTAATGTTAGGGTCAGATACCTAAAATTTTATTATTGCAAAATGTGTGTCATTTTTCCTACATTAAATTGAGCTCTTGCATATCAATATGTTGTGTGTAATACATTAAAGAGTATAGTTCCTAATGATGCCAAGTTTATGCTATACTTAAACATTAGTATTTGCAGCACAAAGATCAATGTTAGTATTCTTTACCTATACTTTTATGAAGGAACCAAATATAGTAAATATATGAAGCACAGCTAAGCTCATATAACCACATCGGTGTAACCAGTTTCCTGTTTATCTGTGGCTTACTTGATTTATTGTAGTTTCAGCTTTGTATTTGCATCTTTTTGCATTCAAATTCCTTTTCTTTGTTTTGAAAGGAAAAAAGATTTAGCAAAAAAAAAAAAAGGTAAATGAGCTCTTTCTGTTTTTAAAGCAACTCCTGGCGTGCAGTTTGCATTCCAAGTGTTGAACACTGCAAGTTTATATTGCCTCTCTCAACTTGACTTGAGTTTTAAAGTGCACATTTCTCGGACACAGGCAGCTTCTCAGTGATAACTGGAAATACACAGGATGACATAACAAAAATGAAATCATTTACTTGATGTTCTAGATTCCTAGGAAAAAATAAGTTCACTATAAGATTTTTATCAAGTGGGGAATGGTAATCTTAATTGTATAAAAACTTACATTTTACCTTGCCCCACATGAACAAGCATGTGAAATCAGGCACTTAAAAGGAAAAATAATCACGAAGCTTCCCTTTTAAAGCAGATGCTGCTGGGTATAGATATTTGTTCCGTGCATGCTGAGTAATCCCTTCCTGGTATTAATAGTTTTGATAATGTCCAAATTATTTCCTCCCCATCGCATCATGGATATATTCCCTAGTGAAGGTCATTTATAGAAAAAGCCCTTTTTGGATAATTCATAAAATAGGAAATTTTAGCACCAAGGAGATTTTCTTTCAAGAAGCAGTGAGTCACTGGAAACACAAGATTACAAGTCTGGTAAACTAAATCATAACAACAGATGCCAAATAAAAGCACACTATTCCTGCCATCGGAAAGAGTCTGAGAGAATAATGGGAGACAAGTGTTTAAAGTACTTGCTCTGATAGCTCCGAGATTCCAATTATCTTTGAGCCCTTGCAAAATATCCCAGGGCCATTTCTTCAGTCCGCTCAGTCAGCTTGCCCGGAAGTTCACCTACTACAGCACACAGACCCTTCCTCATCTAATTAGGTTTTCACATGAATGAAGCCCCATCAAAAGATCAGGTCTGCTTCTGACTTTTACATCTGGAAGCCTCCACGGGGAGAAGCAGACAGGGTGTTTATCTCTGACACATCTCCCTTCATCCATCCCCAGCCTTAGCCCTGCCCAGGAAAGGCAACTTTGTCTCTACGGGCTGGAGGTAGTAGAGAAGGAATCGGGCACAGGAGCACGGAGGTCTCTGGAAAGTCTGGAATGAAATGAGACCACGTTCCTCCTCAGGCTGGGATTGTTAAAACAGAGAACAGCCTGTAACTACACAACACGTGAAGTTTGTTTTAAAAGCAAGCAATTTGCTCCATGTCCTAGAAGTGGAGGTGGACAGAAGGAGCCTTTTTCCAGTAACAGCTTCTTGATTTAATTAGTCAGCTTTCTGATTATTCAAAACTACTACATTAACAGACTTTCCTCAGACTGAATGTATTTTTTTACTGTCTAAATGTTATTTCAGATTGAAAGTTTGATTAAGAAAACAGAGGACGTGTTATTTCTAGGCCGTTATGTGTTGTTTGTTTTTTAATTACACTCCACTCTGGCCCATTAATGCAAGATGATTTACTTCAGTTTTGACCTACTTAATCCCACACCTGAAATATTTTGAGAATTTACTACCTATTTTTTAATTTGCTTCAGCATGCAAAATTGGTAAGTTTCATTTATGTCCTCTGGCAATATAAACTCCAAGAGGAAACATTCCATCCTTGAATTACTCATACACAGTTTTGAAAAGCAACTTTTTTTTAAAGAGATCAGTTACACGCTAGCCTTTGCTAGTGATAAAAAACCCACATCAATTAAAAACATTGTACTGTTAATCAGATAACCTCGTGGCACAAATATATTATTCCTTTGCTTAAGTGGATTCTATTGCTTTATGAAATACAGTACTTTGTTTTGTTGTAGAGAAAATTCATTCATCAGATCTAACTTTTTTACTTTCAGGGCACTGAAAGACCATTTTATTAACTGATTACAATATCTGTTTACTAGGTATAAAAAGAGGGTTTGTATCAAGCAGTTATTTAAGTATTCTAGGTTTGTAAATAGTTTGAAATGGATGGATGATAAACTTTAAAAATAGTTCTTCAGCATTCTGGACTTAAACTTTTTTTGACACTTCCAAACATCTTAAATGAGTCCCCTGAAAGGCACAGGTTGACCAGACTGATTGGTAAAATTTCAGTACTTCGGGAATTTAAGGATATGGCTGATGATTGCATGCATTTCATGAGTTCTTATTATTACTTGACAAGATTATAGCCTTTTTCTGAGATGGACTAATGCTGGCCTAGTAAACTCTTTAAAAGGTTGATTCGTCCTACTATGTGTGGGTAAAGACAGGAAAAAAAGCCATAGAGCAGCAGGAGATATGACAGCATTCATCTGCATGGGTTTTGGATGACCACATATATGAGAAATTTGATTTGTAAGCCACAATTAAGAAATTCTAGAACTGTTTTTTATGGACAGCATTCATCATATCATCTGCTTCGTATTTTCCAGGAAGAATAATGCAAATTCAGTGCTGTGGTAACATGCCCAGGTCTGACTACAGTGTTAGAAGGTCACATGCTAGTGGATGGGAAGAGCAGTAAGGGTTAGAGTGGGATCTAAAATGGGATTTTGCAGCTGAAGCAGTTGGGAAACAAGCCAAAGTTTTGGTTTTCCTACCTTTCCTGCCTTTTTCTGTGTGCTCACACGCACATAATTAGCCAACAAAAGAGAAAATTCTGGACCGTGAACATCAATCAACTTGAGTATTTCCCAAAAGCAACCAGCACTGCAGAGAAAGCAGATGAGGTGTACAACCGATGGGGTTTGGATGGGTTGGAATAGGGAAGGCTACTTTTCTGAAATATTACAAAGATCATCAAATGTCTTCCAGACATTCCCCTGGGAAGGTGTAGTTCTTTTGTAGCTCTGCAGACGAGCTTCAGTTCATTTTATTCACTGGACAAAGATTACGCACTAAATGGTTGCAGTAGCTAGAATTTAAAGTGTCACAACCATGTGCTTTTTTCATTGTCTGCTAGTATTGCTGGTAGTCAGATACCAGAGGATCTATCCCATGGCCTTTGCCGCTCCTGTGTTGTGCCCTCTCCACCTGATTTAATTCTAAAGCACAGTTGCAAAAGGACCCAAAGCAACCATAAGCACTTTCTCAGACATTCTCTAGTTGTACAAGTCAGGTCTACCCTCTGTGTATACTGCCCAGATTCATCCCTCTCCTGACTCGCTTTGGAATTAAGAGAAGAAACACTCAATTCCCTGAGGGGCCCAAGGGCCCTCTGATGCTTGTGGATTTTGAAATCTGCATTTCTAAAACATACGTGTGGCATAAACAACAGACCAGGTGCCTCCATGTGAGATAAATTCAGTGGGTAGCATGAGGAGGAGATACCAGATACTGGGGGAAGAGCAATATATCTCATGAAACAGATAGATTGCTCAATGTCATCTAACCTTCCTTGTGCCCACAGGAATCCTTGGCCTAAACCAAAGTTAATTTCAGAGACAAATAAAATTAATGTTTTGGGCTTGCATAATATGAGAGCTGAGATAACTTTACAGTGTTTAATCTGTTTGTGCTGCAGAGTGTATAAGCATTCAGATTTATTTTGCAAATCAAATCCCTTGTGTCCCTCTCTTCCCTCTCCTGAATCCAGCCTGCTGCTCACCCTTCTCCCATTTGTATGCTTGTTAGGTATCATGGGTCAGCGCCAGTGTTTGGCTTTGAAGTTTTTGAAGGAAACACTTCAGTAAACATCCCAAAGACTAGAGGCTTAAATTCTGCAGTGTAGTGTGCTGTCCAGATGTTAAAAATGGCAGGATGAAAGCTTCACTCAAGTCCTCCAACTTGCTCCTTATGCACACATGCACGCACGCGCGCACACACACACACACACACACACACACACACAGAAGTCAGACACAAGGTGTCTGTAGCCCATTTTTCTCCCCATTTCAAGGTGTTTTTGTCATAAAACTCGCATACAAAAATCTAAGTATGCCACTTCACGAGGCTTGTTGTGAAGGCAAAATGTGAGGACACACGTAAGCACACAATATTCTTGTTTAAGAGGAGAACGTGTTACTCGATAGGACAGACTCTGTGCTTCGTCTTTCAGCTGAAGACTCTTTTTCCTGCCTCCTCGTGCTGTTCTTTAACCACTGGCAAGCAGCAGGCAACAATCACTACTATAAGGAATCACTCCAAGCCTTGTAATGTAAAAAACTTTTTAGTTCTCCAAGAGATACTGCTTAAGCATTTTTTCTTCTGTATTTTGGTATTTAAGCCTTCAAGGTAATGTAAAGGGAATGTGTCATATTGGGATTATGACACATACTGTGGATATTCTTGCACAGTTCTTCCTAGACAACTTTCATTTATATCCACCCAAGACTTTCACAGACATTGCCAACGTGGTAAGGCATATAATGATATCTCACATTCCTTCTCTAAAATCCCTTGCCGAGGTTGCTAAAACAGAGTAACTATATACAAACTAGGTTAAAAATCCATAATCCACGTCTGGATTTTATCACATCTATTTTAAAAGAAAAGGAGAAAACTTATCAGGAAGACCACGTGAAAGTCACCACTTTAGTAGCTGCAGCATTTAACAAAGCACCTAATTAAGAATGTTGCTCTGCAAAAACTATTAGGCATCAATCAAGATTTCCATATGAAAGCAAAATGTGTGGGACAGAAGTGGGATGAGCTCAGGACAAGGTTACTAACTTCTGATGCAATGTCGGTAAAGCAGAAGAGACTGGAGAGCACCTCATTTTTTTTCTTTAAAGTAGCTCATTTAGTCTCAGGCAAGGACACAGAGGAGTGATTTCAACCAAACACGAGCAACAAGTCTGCAACTCAGCTCTGTGCTTGCAACTTCACCGCAGCTTCTCTCTCAGTAGAACAAGGTTAGAAGTTGTAAAAGTGTAGTATCTGAAGGAATGTATAGAAATATGACCAAAGAAAGCAAAGAATTCCTACCAGTTAGAACTCAGCACATTAAGAGAACTTAACTTTTACAGATGTATATCTTTAAACAAGTTCAACCCGCAGCACAGTATCACAAAATTCTCAAGGTGAAAAAAAAGTATTTCCAGAAAAAGTGATACACAAAAAGATGAAAAAGGAAAACTTTCAACTTACCCTTGCTGATCAGCAGTGAAACTGGATCAGAATACTTCTTTGGAGGGTTAAAGGAAAATGGAAGAGCACGTTCAGGCACTCAGACCTGTCTATTTAAACTTTAAAAGTCTACTGCTGTTTTGTATTTTTCATCCTTCCTTCCCCACTAATGAAAGAAAAGTGCTGATACCTCGTAAAAGTTTTTTCTAACTTGGAACACTGGGAGAGCTTTTAACAAGTTTTCAAGCCTCTGACTGTGAAAGAGGAGGGGAGAAGGAGGGGAGGCAGCCCAGGAGGAGGGGCGCGCTGCAAATGGAGAGGAGGAAGGTGGGGGAGGAGGGAAAGAACTGAAGGCACAGCAAAAACCAGCCCGGGGAGGAGGATAGAGTGAAGGCGTGAAGGTCCACTCTTGCTGATGTAACAAAACAAATAGAAGGGCAGTCAGCAACCACCCCGCACCCACCTGGTCACTGAGGGCACCCGGGTGGCACTTCATCCAGATACTGGCTTGCCCAGGACGGATGAAGCAACTTAGCGCTCTGGTGTGCACCAGGAGTTTCACTGCAGGGAAGGGGAAATATGCGTGAAAGGGATTAATGGGTAGCCAGCATGAAACTCCTGGGTGCTGGGGCTGGACCGCAGAGCTGCCCTCTCCATTCCCTACTCGTCACCACATAGGAGAGGAAGCTCTCTCAAGCCCTTTCTGCTTTTTGTTGTGAACACAGCTTTGTTTACTTAGGTCTGCTTCCTTTACGTGCACACATGAAAGTACACACCAGGAGCAGCGTGTTTGTTTCTACAGGAGATACCCATCACACATTTTTTTATTATTATTTGTGTGTGTGTGTGTGTGTGTGTGTGTGTATCTCACGGGAGAAATGAAGAAATGATCTCACATTCCAGGAGACTCTTTCCAGGAAACTTCAGAAAATAAAGCATAGTACAGATAATCAGTCTTCAATAGTGAGAAGAAATGCCCCTAATAATTTCTGAGTACATTTTACAGAATAAAAGAATGCTCCAAAAGTTATATGTTCAATTAGAACAAAACTAGTTTGGCTTTGCTCCTGACCAGTCCCTGGTCAAATACTTGAAAAATGCCTTCTCTGTAGAACAGATATTTATTTCTCTGCCTGTGTTAAGCTCCTCACACATGAAGTCCAAACTGCATCAGGAATTGGTCTTGTACTTATTTGTGTCATCATGTATCACTGCTTAAGAGCTTCTCTAGAAGAATTCATGGTTAGATATTTCTCAGTGAAGTTTCACATTTTGGGTTGTACCAGGGTCATTTAGGTTTCAATTCATGTTATTCTCATGGGCTACTCCTGGGCTCAGTAGCATGGATGAGCATTTTTTGCTCTTTAAAGGCTATAGAGGAGGAGAGACCTCCAGCAATGGCCATTGAGAGGCTCTCAAATAAAGGTCCTCTTTACAGTTTCTTCTTGAAACAATGAATGTTACACTCTACAACACAACCTAGATATTACTCCTCATTTTTCACAGCCCTTACCTACAGTTTTTCAGCCAGAACTCCCCGAAGAAGAGAACTAAGACAATATCTTTATAAAAAGATACTCATCAGGGAAACAAAATCTTTATAGAATAAAGATACAAAGCTGGGACACAAACACGCAGTCCTGGCTCTTGCTCTGGAGCTGTTTGTAGCGGACCACACTACCTCCTGTTTGAAGAAAAGAGCTAGTACACTACAACTGTGCACTTTCCATTCCCCTTCCTCTGGCTACAGAGAGAGATGGTATATTTCCCTAGCTTGCCCTTTCCTTTGATAGTAGCTGTTAGTTTTGACAGCTTTTTTAGTTTTTATAGTTGCCCAAGCCATGTGTCAGAAAAAAACCTTTCTTTATGTTCTCTGAGTGTTGTTTTATGGTTGCTTTTTTTCTTTACAGCAAGGGAGAAATGGAGCTGTGTGTTTAACAGGCTGTGGGTCCTTCTTGAGAATTTAAAAATTGCAATATACAAGAGCATTCCACTGCCCTCATGACTGTGGTATTGGCAGTGATCAAAGTACACATAACGCTCCTGCTACTGCCCCAAAAAACACTGGTTATTCTAGAGCAAAGTACAAAATACTAACAACATAGCTACGTGTGTGTTGATGCTTAGACAATGAAGATATTTGGGATTTCGGATGTGTTGGTGCTGAAAAAGCTGCCCCTTAGGAAACCAGCTTTATGGCAGGGAAAAAACCTTAAATTATAGCATGCTATCACACGATGCTATCGTTCCCTGTCAAAGCCAGTATTATCACACGGTCCAACTTGCCCGATCTTGCATTTTTCCGTGTATCTTCCTGTATAGGCTTTGCAATTTTTCAAGCGTTTTTTTTTTGTTTTTTTTTTTTTTTAAAAACAAGGACCAATGAGAAGTATTTCTCCACTTAAATAAACAAACAGTATTTGTGAGAAGTCCAACACTCTTAAAATCCACTTTGTAACACTAAAATATTTGTTAGTAACAAGAGAAGAATAATTTTGCAGCAGTAATAAGCATAACACTTGGCTTTGCTACAGCATTATCCACAAGAAAATGGGAAGTAATTCAAGTGTCCACTGTGATACTGTGTAGAATTAGGAAGAATTATTATTAGTCCTGATAACAGTGCTTTGGAAGTGTCTTTTAGAGTTTAGAAATGTCACCATGATCACGTTTCACAGCCTATTACCAAAAGATATTCAGCTTCAGATAGTGCAATGATCTACCATTTCAAAAAGTTACCAGAAAGTCTTACACTCATTTGCAGTGCAATAGAAATACGTTTTTCAGATTGAACAAATGTCTTCACACACAGCCCCTCTTCAGCTGAAGCAGTCTTCAACAGGAAAGCACGGGGGTGTCAGACCTGAGATATTTGCAAGTCTGTTCTTAATTACAGACTAAAAGATGGGCATGAAGATCACAGCTAGATTTGAATCCTTGTGCCATGGAGCACAGATTCTTTTTACAGAACAGAACACCAAGATTTTGGAGTCCAGAGCTCTCTGGGACCTATATTGCCATCCACTGACGTTTTGCCTTTTGGAGCAACCAGTGCAGTCTCATGATGCAATCTTTTAGCGTGGCAATGCTAGGACTGCAGAACCTGTTTCTCTTTGGTTTGGCAGGCTACAACACAATCAGTAAGAGCACGTTCACACTGTGACCCAGATGCAGCACTGGAACCCAGGCTCCATCAAGTGCATCTCCAGGACTAAACCTGAGGGTGACTTCCATAGGATTTCTGTCCACTCTCTACTGAATCCTCAGCCGAACCAGTGAAATCATTCAGAGACCTTAGCGCTGTTGCTGCTGACTTACCAAAGGGAATTGTAAATTGGATTATTTAGTACTTACAGCCTTTGACACAGATTCACAGTTAATACAGAACTCAGTCCACTGTTACCTTTCTGTTATTACCTGGACATAAGTACAGAACTCTATACAGAAACTTTTTCCTCATATCACCTCCAAATACTTCCTCAAAAATATTGTAGTAACCTGATTTGCCAGGAAAGCCCTAGTGAATGTTTCATTTGGAAGGCTCTCCAGTCCTTTGACTATTACAGAATTTCTCATTTATACCAGTTGGGTTCATGGTCTACTCCCAGTTACAGGTGTCTGTGATTTACAGAGCTCTGAAGACAAAGAGCAGGTCTTCACTTATTTTTAATTTGTTTGCAAAATTCACTTCCAGTACTCCCATGCAATGCACTGTGTCCTGTGCAATTCAAAAGAGGAGTCTGTGGGCTCAGTAAACTGAATATACAGTAAACCAAGATGAACATACAGATGCAACAGATTTTCTTGGGTGCCTTTCAAGGCAGCTGTGCAGTCACCCACGTCTCTGGATGGCACGTAAGCTTCAGCACGTTTTCACCTATATCCCTTCTCACACATTTGGCTTTAAAGACAGACTTGTGAATAACGCATGTCCCTGTTTCATGTCCTGTTGAGGTAAAGCTTCTCAGAATGTCCAAGGAACAATAATGCGGTATTTCTTGATTACCTAAGCACATAAATGTGCAGACTAATGATTTTTTTTTTTTTTTTTTTTTTTTTTAAGCAGCCAGTGGTTTTCACTTGTTTAAGGAATTTACATCATGTAGAAATATAGCACAGCTTTGAAGTTGCTGGCCACAGCACTTGGACTTTCTCTTAGCTGGAGTCCACTGGCAGCTGCCACACCCAGTACTCTTGGTTTTGCAAAACACAGCATCCCCCTGACCCCAATTGTCAAAGGGTGGTCAGTTTTTAAATGAAAAGGCAATTGTCTTCCTTTAAGGCAGTAGCTGTTCCCACTTGGGTGGCACAGCATACAGCATATAAGAGAATATTTTTCTGATAATTGTAAGGATAGTAATAATAAAAAGCAGGATAATCGCAAGACTGTCTTTTAGCGAGCACACTTGCCTTTCCTTGTAGAAACTGGTCTCAGATTCATTTGCTACAGGGCTATTAAAGACAGATATTCCACAGGGGAAAAGGAGGCTTAGTCAGCACAAGATAGATTCTGCTCTTTCTGTCTGCCTGCAATTTTAAAAGAGACCCTGCTGGAAACACATCAAGACTGAAGCACCTCAGAGGAAAGTGTGGAGAAGTTCTCAGTGACAGATGCCAATTTGATCAGAGCCTGGCCTAGCAAATGGTCACTATTCTCTGGAAATATTTTGCACTATTGCACAGTCATCTGTCTAAAATCTCAGAGTGCTTTATAAATATTAACATAGAACAAGTTATGTTATATTGATGTCTTTCATGGAGACAGGAAGTTTGTCATGGAGAATAACAGAAACTCTTCTGAGTCATAGCCAGCTCATGGCACAACCAGAATTAGGAGCAAAATTTCTTAATGTCTGGCTCCATCTTTTAAGCCAAAAGTTATTCTGTCCTGTTCCCTAGTTGCTTTTTGAAATATCTAAAAAACATCTCAATGGGTGTTTCTTTTTAAAATTTGTGACAATCACAGAGAAGGAAAATACAGTGTTCAAAATTTGTGGTGACTGTCTCCTTTCCATTCTTTGTGTCGGTCAATGCCTGCTACTTCATACCACTAAGATCTCACCACAGCTTCTTCATGGTGATACTCAGCTTGCTCACTTTCCCATGCTGTTTTTAGAAATATCAATTTATTCCTGGTTTGCTAATGGACAGAAAGGGAGAAGGGTAATTCATGGATGCTCAGATGCTCTTCAGCTGCTCCAAGGAACTTCTAAAGCTCGTTACAGACAGCTTGAACACCAGAAAAGGTGGTCTTAA